TCTTACGGAAAATGTGGCCGTGGTTGCCCAGTAGGCAGTAGCTAGTGATTAAGGATTGCAATGCCGGTATACCGAATACCGGTATTTTGAGCCATTTGTACAAGTTTGTAATACCGGTATTCACAAGTTTAAATACCGTTTTTTAGGTATTTACTAGAAATGTTTTAAATTGTTCCCACTATATGTTCAGGGATCACCAACATAGTAAAATAGTATGCGTTTTTAGTCTCTCTAACAGGCGAAATTAATTAGATTGTGAATATAAAGTTGCATCGCACAATCAAGAGAAGTAATGCTATCTAAGATGATGACGAAATAATGTCGATAGTGAAAAGGATTTGTCTCTTGACCAAAAATTAGAATTAGCAATAACTAAAAAAAAAATTTCAACAAACCAAAATGCAATACAGAAATCAGCTATATCCAAAACCATCCGACGAGAAATCGATTTATCTGAAAATGAGGGATTTAGAGGTAAATACGTGGAAAAAGTATATCGCGTGCATTGCTAACAGTACCACCCACTAGTGTAGATGTCGAAAGAGCGTTTTCGACAGCTGGCAATTTTTGCACAAAATTACGTTCCAGGCTTAATGACAGTACAATTAATGCATTATGTTTTTTAAAATCACATTTACCGCCCAGCCAGTATGGTGGATATGACCCTCGGCTTGTAACTGGTGGGTTCGGGCTCGAATCCTGAGTAAGGCATGGTTGTATTTTCTTCGGGAAAAGAAATCGGACTTTCGCTTGTAATGGATTCCTGTCTCGAATGGAAAGCAGCGTACCCCTTCTTGTTATATGCTGGGATCATCGTCCGTAATAAATGTCTAAATTCTTCTATTTCTATTGTATGTCTATGTTCTTCCATTTGTATTTCATATATATCCCTAGAGATAAGAAACACACGACAATAACAGATCACATTTCAATAATTTGTAATAGACCACAGACTGAATAGTGATATTTACACTTTTTTGTGAGTGAAATAAATAAGATGTTCCTTTACTTTTTTTGTGATTCTTTATATACTGTTACAATTTATAAGCTGCAAATTATTTTTTGTGATATTTACACTCTTTAATAAAACTGGAAATTAAAACCAAGAAACACCTACGTTTTCTCTCTTTTTCTAAAATTTCCACAACCGGTATTAAAACCGGTATCCCGGTATTAAGATATAAAAAATACCAAATAACGGTGTTGAACTTTTGGTCTAATATTGCAGTCATTACTAGTAATCGTGAGCCCGCGGCCGGCTTGTCACAGGTTCGAGTCCTGGTGCCATTGAAGACCCGCCGTGTAGACGGGCTGATACACGTTAAATCTGTTGTGCTAAAAGCCCTTTAGTAGGTGTGATGCGGTAGCTTGGAGAAGGAGTGCCAACTCAGGTGTTGTTTTCCTCAATTGACCAAAGCTCAGAATTACAAGGTCCTTTGCTCATAATCTTCGTGTTGTTTTATACTACGACGTTGATATAACTCCATGACGTATGTCATTTGTTTTTACACATATTTCGATGTTTAGTTAATATAATTATGAGGAATTATAACTATTTTCTGATTTCATCCTCTGTGATTTAAATCAATAATATTATTTCATTTGAATAAATCCATTGCAAAAGTACTATGGAAAAAAGAGAGTTTTCTAGTAAAGATTCCAATTTAACTCATTGCAGTCACTGTAACATTAAGCCTGGCTCAATAATATTGATAAACTGATAAAAGCTGCAAGCACATACACAGCTTTTGGTAATATATTCTCCCTAAAGTGTGGATAATGCATTTGGGTCACTTCAACATGTTATGTTGGAAGCAATGAAGAATGAAGGCTCCAATAATTTTAAGCTCAAGCATATAGGGTACGCAAAACTTCGCTGCCGATGGATTCCTCCTATAAAAAATGATGATCTCAGATCTGCCCTAAAGCTCAAAACTCTTAAAGAAGTATTTAAGAAAATAGCTATTAAATTCTTTGAAAAAATAGACTCGCGCATGAGAGAGAGAGCAATAGAGCAATAGCCAGAATTGAAAAATATAATTTAAATCCTCTTTTTAATCGTCCTCGAAATATTCTTATCTAAATACATCTTTTCCAAATTGTTTCCATTGCAATCTTCAAAATTATCCGAACTCACCATCTTCCAATGGGCGACTATTCAGACCGAGGGCTGATTTCGACGAAGCAGGTTCTCAGCGTCGCTTGTTTTATTTTTTTTTTCCTCCCTTACTATTCTGGATTTTTAAGCCGACTGCGCTAGCTCGGTCTCTGGGCTAGCCATCGTTCGGCACAGCTGTCTTTCCTGCACTACATAAACAATTACACTAAATAACTAAGAGTAATCTCACTCACTTTCAACACCATTTTTTCACACCCTAATGATTCTTAAATTTTCACGCAATTTTATTATCATTATTTAATTCTTATTTTTAATTTAATTTCATCTCTAACTATAATTATTTTAAAGCAGCAAAGGGCTAAGGTAAAGCCGAACCAATGTTCACTCCCCATTTTTCCATGACAGGAGTTTAAGCTTCCCTGCTGGAAGCAGGCACTCCAACAACCATTCAACTCTTATATCCTCTTACAAGATTAAAATTCAGTAACGAAACTGCAGAAAAATCCAAAAACTTTCTGAATACTCTAGATTAAATTTAAGAGCAATTTAGACAACGCATGAAAATTTTTAATGTATTGTTTAATTTCTTCTTTTTCTTTTTTTTTTTTTTTTTTTTGGAATAAATGTTACAAACTATATTTATTTTCTTTTACTGTTATTATTATAGGACGAATCAAATTTACCCATTGCTATATATACTTTTATTATGGGACAGAGGGAATATTTAAATAATAATAGATACATTTCATTATTACTTTCTTCAAAAAAGTCTTAAAATTATATAATAAAACCTGTTTTTATGCGGTAGATAGGGAACACATAAAAAGAAACTGCACAAAAAAATATTCGAAAATATTTCATAAATACTTACATATAACAAACAACTTTGTCGACATACTACAAAAAATTTTTTTTATGCGGTGGAGATATACCGCATAAAAAAAGTCGCACTTAGAAAATACGTCAATTATTTACGAATTTTATGAGAAAGAGCTTCCAAACAATATATATAATTACATTATATACATATGGAAAATTTTTTAAAAATATTTATAGTAAGAATGGAAATGTTTTCAAAATGCACTTACATAATTCACTGCTACTCTTCGTAATCCAAAGTGCGCATCTTTCTGTGATAAATTAGTTCAAAATCGTCATTTGAAGATACAATTTCAACTGATAATATTTTTTGGCACCATAAAATAAGTGATAAATTTTTGCTACGACGGTCGGTTGATCAGTTGCTTGAAAACGCCATGATAACCAGATATGCATGATCGAATCTCTTTTTGAAATTTCTAACTCCTTTCGGGATTGGTATTTATTTTAAGAAAATGCTATCCTCCGATTTGTTAGAGAAAGCTAGATCCCTGCATATATTTTATAAACTCTCAAAGAATCATGTTCTTCTTGTCCGTATCTTGTTCATCTGAATGATGCTTGTGTTTTTGTCAGTTCAAAAAGAATCAGAAGAATAGCAGAAATAAGACTAAAAGGTAGAATTCCACGAAAAAAAAGCCATACATCAATTTACAGCAACATTAAAAGAGACTACATTGGGTAGTGGAACACATTAATTGGACAAATGATTATTGGTCACAAGGGAAAGAATGAAGAGATGAAATTAAAATATTGTTATTCGGTAGTGATAGCCGAAAATATGTAAGACGTAAAATAGGAGAAATGCTACATCCTGACTGCATTCAGGCAAGTGAAGTACCCACATATTTTTATTACTTAGTCATGCATATCTGCAGATGGTATCTGTCGCGTTCATATCATCGATGGGACACTGAATGTCAGAAAATACCTTGACACCATTCTAGAACCCCAACTTTTGCCTTCCATCAGGGATCTATTTACCAACAATGCTTTATTTATTTTTCCGCAAGATTCTGCTTCTTGCCTCACAGTAAAGTAATTGAAAGACGTACCGTTTTAAGATCATTGAGTTGTTGTCCTGGCCAGGAAACCGTCCTGACCTCGATCCTATCAAAAACTTGCGGCATCGTTTGAAAACTCTTGTCCGAATGAGGTACTCATGAAATAAAAAGGAACTAATTCAGGATATAATTGTTTCTGTGATCATGTAATAGCGGAGAAAAAGCTTAAACGTACTTTTTGCTCAATGAAACATTGATGTGAAGTTGTAATAAAAAATATATGCTCCCCTATTAAGCACTGATAACTTACTACTATCATCAATATCTAATGTATATCGATAGTTATTGCAGCATACCTTTTTTGCCTTGCAAATATTTGAATTTTGATTTTTGTATTGAGTTGAGTATTAAATTTTCCTTAAAATGATATAAAATACTTTGTATTTTGTGCAACGTACATTTTCTATAAGCATGCAAACTTAAAATACATAACAATTTTAAAAAGAGTCCACAATTTCGGCCACTACTGTATATGTACATTGATAGAAAACGTTATAGTGGCGCCAAAGCCGTTGAAATTCATGTACCGCATATAAAAAGATCGCACTAAAAATCACACAAAAATAAAACCGCACAAAATAAATCGTACAAAAATAAGTCCGCATAAAAAAGGACAACACAAAAACAAGTTCTAATATATATCAATGATCGAAAATTATAACATGGTTCATAATTTGTAATATTCTTTTTCAATTTCTAATCTTAGTTCACACTCTCCCTATATATATATATCTTGTTCAAATTTTCAATTGTTAATAAAATACTTTTTATTCATCCACTGAAGTTCAAATATTTTTTTTAAACTTGTAGTGCATGACACTTGATGTTAATACAATTTTTTCAAGTATTAATTAATTGATTTTTTAATTAATGAATAAATAGTAACAAACAAAAATAATAGTCCAACACTTTATATAAAAAGGAAAATCGCTTGTTTTGTCTCTGTAGCGCAATGAATAGCGCGTTGAACTTCTAATCCAAAAATTGTTGTTTCAAATTCCACCTGGGATGGTCTCATTTCTGCGAATGCGATTTCTTTTTACAATACTATTTATCGAAATAATTAAATTTAATTAATAAATAAATATTAACCAACAAAAATAATAGTCGAACATCATATATAGAAAGGAAAATGGAAAATTGCAAGGAAAACCACTTTCTTTTTTGCCACTTAATATTGTGATACTGCCATATGTATCTACATATTTATATTAATTGTAATTATTTAATAAAAAGTGGCTGTGAAATATAACTTAGTAGAGCCTAAGTAGGAACTGACTTAAAAATTTTAGAAATATAGAAGACACAGTTGTCGTGGTTTTGTATGCACTTATAGCCCTTTGGATGTCTAAATAATCTAGTGGTTATGAGACCAGCGTTTCTCAAACTTTCAATTTTCAATCAGAATTTTCCTCGCGCCCCTCTTCGTACAATAACAGTATATAGAATGTAATATTGATGTATATGACGTATATATAAGGCTACAATACTAATCTAATTATAAACCACACAAATTAACAGGAAAGTAATAAATTTTGTACATGATAAGCCTATGGAAGTCACTAGTAACTATTAAACATGTTCTTAACTTAGCATTGATAAATTAATTATCAAATACATTTTGCACTACTGATACATTTATAAATATATCATGTCAATGTAAATGTGTCAGAATGTATTTTGTTTTGCTTCTTTACAGTAAATTGATAATTGTTCTAAATAATCTTTTATTTTGGACTTTTCGATTTACTCGCGCCCCCCACTTAGGGCTGTCACGCCCCCTTAAGGGGTGCGCCCCACTGTTTGAGAAACGCTGTATTAGACCTTTCATTTTTTTGTGAATGTGTTTTACTAAAATACAATATATATATAATTCTTCTAAATGTTCCCCTATTTATTTGTCGACGGGCAAATACGTAAGGCGCATGCGCGGGAAAGATGAATGCATTTGGTGAAGTTGGTCGGAGGTAAAATACTTAAGAATACAAACTGGTATTTTCCTGGAATAAAATCTTTTATTTTCTGAATTACATAAAAAATTTGAAATCAACTACAAGCATCTCCAAACATTAACTCTTTCTTTTTCTTGCTCCTTTTTCAGACAAAAAAAAAATTTTTTTTTTCACATTGTAAACTTTCAAGTATTTCTTAGCAAACTTTTCAAGGGTGAAATAATAAGACACTTGCAAAAGAATTCATGGTAAATATGAAAAAAGTTATTCATGTTTCTCTCTTGTTTAGACAAAAGATAATGTAGTATTATTTATTGAGTGCAACTGCACTTACAAACAACATTTCCCGGAAGAATGCTTCGAAATGTTGACCGATGACCAGGTTACAATCAACTTTCTTTTGCGTAGGTAGGAATCAGAGTGCTTGGTTCTAAATGATATCTGGAGTGGTGTTGTTATGATGACCTAGTGTAAGACTTTCAGCCAAAAACAAAGCCAGTGATCTCTTTTTCCACTAAAACACATACACATAATTAAAGCAATTAACATAATTTTGATAGTGACATTTTTTCAAAAAAAGTCGTTAATTATAAAGCCCATTAGTTTTGACTAAATGTGTAAGCTAATGTGTATGGTCTGCTGCATTGACAAATGAACATTTTCAGAATTTAATATTTAAATTTTTTAAAAATGATTTATTTTCAAGGTAAAATTAGGGTCTATTTCCAATTCAGTGAGTGAGTGTTTATCAACGTCGAAATATATAGTAACTCGAGGGGTATTGGCGACGTACCTCATAATTTTGAACGAGTAACGAGTACGGCACCTGAGCCTGACTCTAGGTTCGGACAAACCGGACCCCTGCCGGGGGGCATTTGGAACAAATTTGAAAAATATTTATTTCTGTTACAAAAAATTTGATATATTTTCTGAATAATATGGAATTTGAATTTGGTATTTCATTTAACGTATCTTATTTCCTTATTTTGTACTCTGTATGTTTATTGTAGTTTTCTTTTATGTTGAAACTTGAAGGGTTGGAGACGGGAGTATAAACATGAAATCTGATATGTTTACACATCTTTCACAGTAGCTTTCACCCATCCAGGAGTTCACCCCATGACATTCCTTTCACCCAAATGATCTTCGGTGTCAGCTATCCAAAAGAGAATTAGAGTAATAAGAGTTTTTAGTAGATAGAGAGCCACAGGGGATGTTTTATTTTAGTCTTGAGTGTAGTGTCTATAAACGCTTGTGATCTCCACCATTAGTAGACTCTTTTTCGACAAAATTGGCCTGTTGAAATGGGCAGTTTCTTCTCTTACATGTTGCTCGTTTGAAAGAATAATAGGTATTATGTCCTTGATTTCAAATTATTTTGTATTTTTTAAAGTATCCAACTACGTTTGGAACCGTGATTTTGCACAAGCGTATAAATGGATAATATTTATGATATTTAGTGTCACTTAGATTAGAAAATGTATATAAAATTGTTTCAAGAATAGTATTGCAATAAAAAATTATTTAAGTACAATATTTTGACAAAAAAATGAACATAGAATGACCCATTTTCAAAATATTCTTCTTTTGCGAAAAATGCTTCTATTATAATAATATTTTGCCTGTCTATAGCTCAGACCTCTGTACAAAGGTTCAACTAGAATTTTTGAAATATATAACTTAGAAGTAGGTTTATCAATGTTTTACGACACACACACACACAACAGAGGGGAGACATTTTAAGAAAAAAACGCCGATAATTATTTCAAATGGTTGTAACTCTATTGTTGAGCCTCTGTACAGAGGTCTGTGTGAGCTATATACAGACAACATATTATTATAATCGAAACATTTTTCACAAAAGGAGAACATTTTGAAAAAAGGTTATTCTAAGTTAATTTTTTGCCGAAATATTGTATTTAAATAATTTTTTTGTCAAAATGTCCTTAAAACAATTTTATATATGTGTTCTGATATAAGTGACACTAAATATGAAAATTATCCATTTATGTGCTTTTTTAAAATCACAGTTCCGAACGATACCTTAAGACTTAAAAGCTGTTTTTTTGTTCACAAGAATTATTCAAGTTATATGGATGTGTATCTATGTGAACAATTTATCTTTATTAATTATAAATTTTGCTTTGGTGAGAGGGGCGCCAAAACTGCTAGAGTCGGCCCTGACCTGATCTTGTCCCCCCCCCCCCCTTCGTCTAATTTCCACACCACCTCAATGGGAGGACTTTGAGTCTTGACAAATTTAACTTGCATCATTCGTTCTACAGCTGATCTTTAGTGACACTAGAGCTTGAAATCATGACAAACTGGTCACAATTATAATTACTCAGTTATTGAGGCCATTACAAAATCAGTAAAGTGCTTCAGGGGTAAAGAAAAAATATTTATTATTGCACAATTTTTACATTCATTTTGTAGAAATATTCTTCAGGGAATTCTTCCTAGAAAGGAGGTAAAAATTATATCCTTAAGCATATTTTGTACCTTTGAGATTAAATCAAAATACAAATTGACAAAACAATATCAGTTCTCGTTGATGAAATCGGAAAAAAAAAGATAAAAAATAAAAATTTAACTAAGTTACGTTTTTGTACAAAACACAATCATGCATAATTCAGCGTTCCTCAAACTGGGGAGGGGGGTGCGCCCGCCCCTCTAGGGAGGCTTGATAACTCTATGAGGGGGATGCGAGCATATTGAAAAGTCGGAAACAAAAGATTATTTTTTAAAAAATTATTAATTTACTGAAAGTAAATAAAATACATATCAAATACATATAATATATATACATATTAAAATACAAATAAATGATCCCTTCATTGTCAAGTAAAAGTTAAGCAATGCGCTCCCCAATATCTTCGTTTTCCCCGTAAGAGCGCGTATGTGATGTATTGGGGGGAGGGTGTGACATAGCCATCTGTCGATAGCTACGTCTTGCGGGTTCCGCGTAAGTTAGAGGTGTGGGATTATCGGAAGGATGAGACATTCTATAATTCTTAATACGACTTTTATTAAGAATTTAACTTAAATTACTTATATAACGAACTTATATTAAGTGAGAATAAACCAAAGTACGGCCGTTTAACTAAGTCAGATCGCGCAATTAGATCACTTATCAATATAACTAATTATCTCCACCTAATCTCAATTCAATAATTTACTAGCGTTCAGAATATAATCCTCCTACCTTTGTTGAAAGCTCAACGATTCTGATACTTTCAGGTAGACTGATGTACTCGTGTGCAATAGTTGCTCCTTGTATATATTAGCGAGGGTGGGCGTCTCCGTGATTCCTGAGTAGGCCGTCTAAACACACTTCCAACTGTTCCACACTAAGCTTTCTCTAAGATTGCCATTGATTCTCACTAAACTTTCTATCCTTTTAAAGGTTATCTTATTTGCATTGTTGCTTCGTTTTTACTTCTTGGAATTGGGTTGGAAAAGTTTTGCCATTAATCGTGGCCGTCAAAGAACGTAGGAGTTATGTTAGAAGAAGAACGCGAGAGATGTCACAAGGGGAGAAAATGAACAAATAAGAAATCCTCTGATATGTAAGCAAATCTTTTCAATACTTCCTTTTGTCTCTTATTTTTTGTGTTTGTGCCTCATCGCGACACTTGCGCCTATACATTCCTATACAATAAATGATCATTACAATGTCCTACACCTACCCTTAAAGTTTGTAGCATAAATTTGGGACCATCCTGTATATATAAAAATGGATGTTTGCTCTCTTCACTCCAACACCGTTCAACCGATCACAATGAAAATTGGCATGTATATACATATTTATTTTGTGAAGAAAGTTTTTGTTCTATCCTCTTTGTTGCAGATCCCTACCAGGTGGCGCTACAGCATATCAACTTCTGCACCGTTCAATCGATCACCAGGCTGATAACATGGTGCCAACTTGGCTCTATTGCCAACATTTCGCTAGATTTCCATTGAATTGCCATTATATTCTAAGGAAAGGCGTTGCTTTCGAATATTACAATTTTAACATAAAATAAATACAACAGAAAGTAATTTTAACATATTACA